GGACACCGTCTCCATTCGCCCATCGACCGATAAATGTTCTTCATTTTGTTATCGACCTTTGCGCGTCCAGACTTATCTGTCATTCTTGGTCCAGAACAGAATGACAGTAGAGCATTTCTTATAGGTTAACAATACTATGGCTGATGGGCTTCGGTATTTTGCGTACTCTCAAAGGCTACTTGAACTGGTAATGTTTCGGTTTTACTACCGATGGCATGGTGACGATTTGATCCTGTTTACATACTAACAGAAGCGATCGACCCAGATCCATCTCTGATGTTTCAAATCACCTATTTTCATTTCCTAACGTCATCCGCTCATCATCATCATCATACACGTTAGCTAGAGGTGGGGAACACCTCAGCTACTGTGCCGCAATACACAGAAAAAATGAGAGTAAAAACAACTGTTGCAAACCGACTGAGCTACCGGTAACGGATGGGCATCGTTCCGGTAAGCTACCAGCCGGCTACTGTGCATCAAAAAATTACTATGCAAAATTATATAAGGCTAACTAATGAGGTCGTGGTTGGAGGGGGAGGCTAAGAGGGGTGGGGTGGGACAAAGCAACTCACAGCACGAACGCCACAGGTCGGCTCCTAGCCATATCAACAAGTGTATCCAGTCAAACGTGTTCATCGTCTTTCGGACCCCAACCATAGAGCCAAGACGCTCCAACCGAGGCCAGCTCAGAAGTGAGGGCCTTCATTCCTCTGGACCAAGTCATCGTTTGGCCACTCCTCCTTTTCTTCCATCCACACCCCTGGCGCGCAAGCACCACACGTCGCGGGAGTCGGTGGGCTGACATGCGTAACACGTGGCCGAGCCATCGGAGCCTGGTGCGTGAAATAACGGTGCTGAGCGGTTCATTTCCTTTTCCTGTGCCGTAAACAAGGCGTCGAACACGCTCGTTGCTCACGCGGTGTTCCCACCAGATGTGAGCTAAATTGCGAAGGCACCGGTGGTCGAACGTAACTAGCCTCTTCAGGTCCGCTGCTTTAAGCGGCCAGGTTTCACAACCGTACAGTAGGGTCGAACGTACCGCTGCATTGTACACTCTACTCTTCAGGGCAAGAGTGATGTCGCGTCGGCGCCATTAGTGTCGAAGATTAGCAAAAACGCCCCGAGCTTTTGATATACGGTTCGTGATCTCATTCTCAATCCCACGGGCGCTGATACAGTATCCAACGGAATTGAATTTTTGTACGACTTCTAGCTGATCCCCCCCAAGGGTCAGCGAAGGAGGCGGTCCAGACCAATCTTGGAGGAACGCTTTGCACTTCGAGGGTGCGAAGCAATGCCCGAAGTGACGGACAGCTAGTGCTAACCTGTCAAGTGCCGCTTGGCACGTCTGGAAGCTGTAACAGATTAGGGCAATATCATCAGCATACTCTAAGTCAAGAAGTCGTTCTCCTGGGAGCAGATCCACACCTTCAAAGTCGTGTCCTGTGAACGCGGTTTCCATGACTTTGTCAACAGCGAAGATGAAGTGGAAAGGTGACAGCAGGCATCCTTGTTTCACGCCGCTGGAGATATTAAAGGGCGACGACAGCTTGCCGTAGACCCTCACTCTGCCCGAGCTACGCGCATCTAATGCTCGGATAATGTTCACATATTTCTCAGGTACTCCTTTCCTGAGTAGACAGTCCCAAAGTGCATGTCTATCCACCGAATCGAATACACCTTTGGCATCGAGGAACACGACAACGGTGGGCCGCCAATATATGTGACGGTGCTCCAACAACTGACGCAAGGTGAAGCTGTGGTCAGTGCAGCCACGTCCTCGACGAAACCCGGCTTGCTCTTCCCGAATCTGGCTTTCACCAGTGTCAGTCAGTCTGTGAAGGATGACAGAGGCAAGCGATTTGGAGGTGACGGAGATCAGACTGCTTCCTCTATGGTTGCGGCATACCGATCGTGAGCCTCCCTTGAAGATTGGGACTATGACGGAGCGGCTCCAGTCGGTTGGGACAGTTTCCTGCTCCCACAGTTTGACTAGTAACTCGTGTACATCATCCACAAGAGCAGGTCCCCCGAATTTGAAGAGGGTTGGAGGAAGATCATCAGGTCCCGCGGCTTTATTTAACTTCAACAGTCCGATCTCACGTTCGACTTCTGAGCGAGAGGGTGGATCCAAAGGGACAGACCAGGGAACGGAGCGATCAGTGGCCGGCGAGAAATCTAACAATTCCGACCGATTAAATTGCCTTTAAAGTGCTCAGCCCAACGCTCTAAGCGTTTTGTTACTTTGTGGATAGGCTGTCCGCTCTCGTCACGTATAGTTTCACTAACACCAGGTCTCCTGCTGCCCATTTCCCCTATCAGCCGGAATAACTCACGATGGTTGCCAAGGGCAGCGGCCATTTCCATCTCTGATGCAAGATGAGACCACCAAGATTCGCGGTCTCTCTTCAGGCTAGCACGGAGTTTTGCCCGGAGCTCTTTGCGAGTTTCATTGTTTTCGCTTCCAGCCGGAATATGCTGGCGAACATCTATAAGTTCCAGAGACTGTGAAGAGACCCAATGTCCATGTTAGTGATTAGACATACCACATGAGGATTTTCCTGCTGCTAATAAGAACTGGTGAATATGAGACCAGTAAGCTTCAATTGCATCCAGTGAGCGTTTACCCAACTCGCATGACAGCGTACTTTGATAGGCATTCAGAACAGCTGGCTTCGCCAGTTGGCTGGTGTCAATGCGCTTACAGCGTCGTCGTGGGCGTCCGCCAAAGCGCATCCGCAGGTCAGCACATGCAAGTGCATGGTCGGTGTCCACACCTGTGCTCCAAATCGAGCGAAAGTTCTGGACGCAGCCTCTCCATCGGTAACTTATCGC